CTCCAAGACGCCCCCCAGAGGGCCCCAAGACGGCCCAAGAGGCCTCCAAGACGCCCAAGATGGCCTCCAAGACACGCCCACGTGTTCCCCGAAGGCTTTCCAAACCGATTCGGGGAAGACATGGTCCGATAGCTTGGCAGGTCTGGCCTCAACGTTCGGCCACATAGACGCTTCCACAAAGGCAGGGGGCGGCGGTGATTCGCCGTAGGCGTCTTCGATAGATCCGCCGCCCCCTTTTGTTGTATGAAAGGGGTGCCTGGCGTGCCAACGATATGGCTTTTGGTTTGGGTGCTTTTTCCAAAAGAACTCCCCCTGGGGCTTCGTCACATCCCGCCGGCCACCCGGAAGACGTGGTTGCAAACGGTGTTCCTGCCCCAGACGGCCCCAAGATGGCCTCCAAGACGGCCAAGATGGCCTCCAAGACGGCTCAGATGGCCTCAAGATGCCTCCAAGACGGCCCAAGATGTACCCTAGACGGCCTAAGATAGCCTGAAGATGGCCCAAGACGGCCCAAGAGGCCCCCAAGAGGCCTCCAAGACGGCCCACGAGGCCTCCAAGAGGTCCTCCAGGAAGGCCCGAAGAGGCAAAATCATTGATTTTCCATCGGTTTTTGAAGAACTTTGGCATTTGCGCCTTTTCGGCTTTCCGACGGCCCCAGACAGCCCAAGAGACCCCCAAGATCGCCCGACGATCGCCCAAGAGGCCTCCAAGATGGCCCCGTGACGGCAAAAGAGGCCTCCAAGACGGCCACAAGAGGGCCCCAAGACGGCCCAAGAGGCCTCCAAGACGCCCAAGATGGCCTCCAAAACGGCCACAAGAGGGCCTCCAAGATGCCTCCAAGACGGCCAAGATGGTCTCCAAGACGACTAAGATGGCCCCAAGATGCCTCCAAGACGGCCCAAGATGCACCCAAGACGGACTTAGATGGGTCCAAAAGGCCCCCCAGAGGCCTCTAAGATGGCACAAGAGGCCTCCAAGAGGTCCTCCAGGAAGCCCCGCAGAGGTCAAAAGCATTGACGTGCTGTGGGTTCTTGAAGGATTTTGGCAGTTGCGCCTTTTCGGCTTTCGGATGGCCCAAGACGGCCCAAGAGGCCCCCAAGTTCGCCCGAAGATCGCCCAAGAGGCGTCCAAGCTGGCCCCATGACGGCCCAAGAGGGCCCCAAAACGGCCCCAAGAGGGCCCCAAGACGGCCCAAGAGGCCTCCAAGACGCCCAAGATGGCCTCGAAGACGGCCAAGATGGCCCAAGATGGCCTCCAAGATGTCTCGAACACGGCCAAGATGGCCTCCAAGACGGCTAAGATGGCCCCAAGATGCCTCCAAGACGGCCCAATATGCACCAAAGACGGCCTTAGATGGCCTCAAGAGGGCCCAAGACGGCCGAAGAGGTCCCCGAGAGGCCTCCAAGGCGACCCAAGAGGCCCCCAAGAGGTCCTCAAGGAAGGCCCGACGAGGCCAAACTCATTGATGTTCCTTAGATGTGTGAAGGATGTTAGCATTTGCGCCTTTTCGACGGCCCAAAGAGGCTCCCAAGATCGCCCCAAGATCGCCCAAGAAGCCAGGATGGCCGATGACGG